GGTTGGACTTCATGATCTTAAGGTCCTTTCCGACATTTATGGTTCTATGATTCTAAGTAAGTAACTGTGTACACATTTAGATTTACTTTTTAAAAAAATTGTACACTTGAATTATCTGACATTTTATAGTCCCTGTGTATGGCATAATGAATAAACTAGAAAAAACCCCACCCAATGGGCTTTTTTGCAAAGATACTGACCTAAGAAGTTCTTCACCAAACTCTTCCTGCCTCCTAAGAAAAGTAACTTCTGATACAGAATTCACCCTCCCTTTGGCAAATTCCTTCCCTCTTAACGCCAGCAACCATCTACGTAATATGCTTATACAGTTACAAAATGCTTTCTTTCTTCACAAATTTCTAATCACAGGAAGAAAAGGATTTAGGGCAAACTAAGATTTCTACCCAATGGCTTAGACAAGAGGACAAACTGTCAAAACAAGACCTAGCAGTGTGTATTCAAAGACAGCACACATAAGTATATGACAACAAAATTAAGACTTTGTTACAAGATACTATGGAGATATTTCAGCTGTTCTTAAAAAATCCCACTTATTAATACATAGTTGTCCTACTCCTAGACAACGCAAAGATCTTACCTTTTGTAACATTTTGCGCTGTTTTTGTTGAAATAAGGAGACCTCATGTTTTCAAAATGGGATTTCTAAATCAAACTTCCCAAAACTGTGTGTGTGCTCACAAACTCAGCACATGGGTAGGAGAGGGTGGGAGTTTCTGTGTCACTGATCACAGTAAATGAAGATTTTCTTGGGTAGCCAAGCACCTCCCTTTCTAGCTAATGATAGCTGGTACAATATAAGGGCACAATTTTTATGGTGTTTCAGAAGCTCATTTTGAAAGTTCAGCAAAACTTTTAAAAACTGAGATTTTCAAAGGGCTCATCCATGACTGAGTCACTTACAAAAGCTACTATTCACACTGACTGTATTCATGTCTTTTCAATTTTCTTTTTTATCACAGTATTCACTAGTTCTCAGAGACCAAGAGTAATACTACTCCACTGTGAATACATATTGTGTCCAGCTGGTGTGATGTTTGTTTCTTTTCCCCTGCTTTTTGTTTCTCTTCCCTTGCTTTTACTCAAAACCAATGGCAAACTCAAATGACATCTGTATAAAATTAGTACAAAAAAGATAAAGAATTTCTACTTACTCTCCTCCCCACATACGCAGACTCCATAATTTAACACCAAATGTTTGTAAGAAAGCTGGCTCATCATACTTGCTGCCTCAAAGAAGGACTATTAAGAAGAAAGATTGAGAGAGAAGTATCCATGAAAACAAAATCCCAAAACATTAGAGAGAATAAATATCAGTGAAAACAAATTCATAAAACATTGCATGATTTTTAGTAAATTTAATAAAATCATGCATTTTAAAAAACATTTAAACTTCCACCTCATTGCAAAGACACTGTCTAATACATTTTATATTGATTGTCATTGGTTTAAGTTTGGTTATTTTTTTTTTTTAAAAAAAAAAAAAACAACTGACAATTCACATTCCAGAGGTTAGCAATCTCTCTTTCTGCAGGCGAGTGTATTTCAACATTTAAAAGAAGAATATTTTCTTTCAGTTAACTAAGTAAACTGCAGACAAATTCATGACACACTATTCAGTTTCCAATTTACTCTTTCATGACACACTATTCAGTTTCCAATTTACTCTTTCATAATGCACTATTCAGTTTCCAATTTATTACTTCATAGCACACCATTAAATTAAAATACAAGATGTATTGTATCACTCATCCACTACTGCTAGACCTTATCTAACCCTATCTAACCTTGTCAGGAAGGTTTCAGTTGCTTTTATTTCTTTAGTCACGTTTTTATTCTCTTCAGTGCCATCTCCAACTGCATTTGCTTGTGTCCTGATTATTCACCCCACAAAATGAGGTCAAAACAAGCACATTTTCCCTCAGGTAACTACACTTGTATTTTTGTGTGCTTAGTCCTTTTAACAACTGACTTTCACTTAACTTTAGAATGTAAGATTATCATCTAGCTTATTAAAATTAAAATATTCATTACAGTTTCTTTATTGTTTCCAAGGACATTTCAGATTTGCTCACAGCTTCACTCAAACAGTGAAAAGCTTAAGTGAATATGGACGATTCTAGATATGTTGTTTCTCGCAAATAAATACTTCTGACTTTTTATGTCTTGACCTGAAATGTTGATTTTACTGGGGAACCAGTATGACTCCAAAACATTGAAGATAGTTTACCAAAAGAATAATTTTTTGTAGATGTTGGCTCCTCATCTGCATATAATGAATTTACTGGTAACAGCAATTCTGTGGTGATGAAAAGGGGAAAAAAGCACATAGCTACACTTCACAAGGCCAGTCTCAAATCCATCCTCCAAGTGTCAAAAGGCCAAGAATGAGTTCAGGTAAACCCTCTACCACGTAGCAAATACTCGTTTATTGTAAGAAAAGCAATGCTCATCATTACATGGACAAGCATTATAGAACAGTTAACAATCACACCAACCTCAGAGTAGTTTCTATGCACTTTATCCAGCACCTTTAAAAGAACTTCAGTTTGATGAAGCTGGCCATAGTCTCCTACTTCCTTCCTCACACCTTTGAAAATCTTAGTAAATGTGCCCTGCCCAAGGCTCTCCTCCTAAAAAAAAAGAAAAGAAACAAAAGGAAAAAAAAAGAAAAGAAAAAAAAAAAAAAAGGGAAAATATCTGTTTGGAAAGCGATTCTTAAACAACCACCCGAAGGAATGCATATGCAAATCTTTATAGCTAGGACACCTCTAGAGTCAGACTAAGGTGACAGGGAAGCAACTGTATCAGAGCTTAAATCTTTGCTTACTTTTTATTGATTTATCATGTAATGTCATAAAACAACTTGCTGCAAGAATGAGCGAAGAAGGAATTGTTATCAAAGATTTAGACATCCCTAGGAGTAAAAACTGCTACTGCAGTCAAAAGGACATTTCTACTCAAAAAAACCCCCATAATTATCTGTATTAATGGGAAATTTCTTAAAAAATATCTTTTCTCTCATAGCTCTAAGAAAAAGATTACAAAGTCTTCTACCTCACATAAGGCTCTTCTAAACACATATGAGTTTTTTTAAACTTAGCTTGTATTAAACCAACCACCTGCAGTGAAAGAATTAACTAATGCACTTACAAATACCAAGTCTTCATTCCGGATTTTGTGAAAGACCATCTGGTTGACATTATTATGCCTCTGTAGCGTAGGTGATGAAGGTACATCAGAGACACTATTGCTTCTGAAGACTAGGAGATTTGATTTATCTGGGAGAAGAAAGATGGTGGGGAAAAGAAAAAAATCAAGAACACTTGAATATCAAAATTAATCAGTACTATTGCAGAAGGATTATTAATGAGAAGCTGCTAATCCAACACGAAGATATCACATAAAGATCAGTTTATTCAAAAAGCTACATAGTACTTCATTAAACGAATTCTAAGTCTGATTTTCCCTAATCAGCAAAAACATTCAGGTTTACTTAGTACTCCTACTTCTGACAAATATTCTGAAGATATTCCCACCTTTTTGCACATTTTAACGTCTGCGGTTATTTGCAGTAATAATCAGAGATCAAAAAGGGGATATAAGCCTCCTTTTTGTATATCATGAAGTCATGCGTATCTCTCTAATGTCTCTTTCAAGCTTTTACATATTTTTGCCCCAGCAGCACTTAGTGATCCTCATTGCCTTATGTTTACCAGAGTAATTTTCATTAAGTGATTTTGAAAAAAGGCTATTCATGAAGTAAGTAGGTCTGTTGGTAAATCTAAAGCTGCTAGGTGCATATTTATGGGTATGTGCATGCATGACTATATTTACTGAATAATTTCTAATTTTGATATACATACATTTTTGGTATTGATGGAAATAAGGTTACAAAATTATTCTCTGTAATGTGCATATGTATTTACTTGTCAAATCTTTTCTAAGCTTCTGAATTCCTTGGCTAATTTCAAACAAATTTGAGAGAAGTAAAGGCTCTCTCAAAGCTTTTCTCAAAGCTGTTCTCTCAAGCTTTTGTTGAAACAGAACTCAGATACAAACAAATACTAATAATAACTGTAAGTAGTACTACTTATAATAAGAAAAAGGGCAGATATCAGAATTCATAAAGGAGATAGATATTACAAGTATCTCAGGTAGGCAAAAAGCTTTAATGTAAATTCAAGAAAAAGATGCTCCTCAGGCAGAAAGTCTATTCAATGTGTATTTTTCAGTGTTAAAGAGAAGATGAAATCGCATTGCAGCCTTGGCATAATTCAGCTAAGACATCAACAAACAATGAAAGATATTTATTGGCTTTGTTGGTTCCATTGCTTTTGGAACTATCCTCAGCGAGAAATGATACATATAGTCACTCTTTCCTCCTCAAGATATGAAAAAATCTGATTGAAGAACGTTGCTGCACACAATCCACTGCAATTAAGAAAACAGTTCTGCTTCTAATCATGAAACTGGCTACTATGATTCTTTCTGGAAGACCCTCTTAAAACAAAGGAAAATTTGGTAGATACTAGGACTGAAAACTATGACTAAGAAGATGAAAAATGTGTCAGTGAAATTTTAAAAAATTCACACAGGCATATGTATCTACCTACCTCAGAGTCATTTAATGTTACAATATTTTGAAACCTTTAATCTAAAAGTTGGAAACTCTTCTGCTTAGAAGTAATTCTTCTCTTACCTTTTGGTTTTGGAGGACAGCATTTGATGAACTGGAAAATTATGCTGTCTGAACGGACAGTTTCTGTCTGATAACAGGTCAACAGATCCTTCAGATTAGCAAAACTTCTCTTGGTTCCACTAAGATTATATTCTCCATTCTCATTCTTTGTAATTAAGCAGTGCTTATAATCAGTGGTATTCTCACGCTGCGGAATTTTTTTCCATTAAAAATAAAATTTATCAATATTTAGTATTTGAAAGCTTATTTACATATATAGCACTGTACCAATTCAAGAAACAACACTTCAGCAAAATATTACCATAATTTGTTATTTTGTTCTCACTGTGTTACACTGATTCTGAGAAACCATGATTCTACTCCCATCACTGGAATTAACACACTGAAACTAAGAAAAACAAACATTACAAATTCTGCAAAGATGGAGTGGGGAACAGAGATAGCTTATTCACCCTTACAGTGGGTAATATGAAAACGAATTTTTTGCTGGAAGCAATAGTCCAAATGCTCATGTTGTGCTCTTTTGGCAAGCACTTGGGAGATCTCAGCTGTTATTTCTATTTTTCTGTCATCTATGGTACAGTTCTAAGCAATTAATTCCTAGCACAGATTTCCAATATGTACTGAATTATTTTTACAATACATCTTGAAAAGATCCCATTAAATATTCTTAAACAAAAGCAGCTCTTAATAGTGCTTTTGTAGTCCTTCATGCATCAACACTGTGGAAAATGTTCAACAAGTTCTGAATCTGAAAAGCTTTCTAATGGCTTGCCCAGAAGGACTCAAAACAAGAAAAGAATACAACTAATAAAAGTGGCTATGTCATTTAAAGGCAGGTTTAACTCACAAGCTTGACTCTCAGACTCTCTAAGCATACTCAGGGACTGATGTCATAGTCCAAAAAGTTCCCCATCCAACACACTTCACTGACTGGACAAGATTTTTGTAAAATGGATCTTAAAATGACTGTTCACTTCTCAATCCACCCATCAATGTTACTCTGTCATTTTCAGAGATACGCGTATCTCTGACAGTATTAAGCAAACTTGATGGATTGCTGCAAACCAAGGCAAAAGCCCATGTACCACCTTCCCTAATTAACAAACTAAAGGTACCTCTGTTAGTTAAAGAGAAGCTCATGGTTGGAACTAGGATGCAATTATGTTACAGAGTTGGTTCTGTTTAGCTCAAATCAGGACACAGTATTAATGTAATGTATTATCACTAACCGACTGCAATCTCACAGAGGAGATGGTATGTCCAGCTCTTTAGCTGCACCAGAAATGCAGGCATTTCAGAGAGGGCTGCCACTCTAGCTAACACCAAATATTCAGCATGAGATCTGTGTTGACAGCTGCCAAATAATCTGGCTGGTCCAGCACTGGACATGGTGATAGGACTGAAACCCAGAAAAACTCGTGAAGAAGAGATGCTCTCAGATCACCAAGGGCTGTATACTCAGTCTATGCCCTATTTTGGGAGTGGCAAGTAGGCAGAGTGGGTGCAAATCCCAGGAAAAATCCAACTAAAACTCCCTAAAAAAAAACCCCAAAAACCAAACATCACAAAACCATAAACCAACCACAAACAGGTCTACCACCCAAACATTTACTACAGATTTAGGAGCCATGTCACCATTCCCAGAACTCTCAAGCTCTCTTCCCTCCATCTGTTTTATTCTCCTAGGTACATGGAATGTGCTAGCAATTCTTTACGATACAGGTATTTTGACGTTTCTCACAAGATCCTGAAGTTGGCCAATCTGACAGAAGTAGCTATAGAATACACTAATCAGATAAACATTCTGAAGAGAAAATTCAGAACCATTTACTGAATATCCAAGGCTCATTATTACAATACAATAAAGATTACACAGGTACTATTTAAGGTAGAATACAAACCTCTACAGCAAAGGTGAGGAAGTATTTTTTAAAATCTTTAGGACTGCAACGAAGAACGTAGAAGCCAGTCTGATTCCCTGCTTTCTTCAGTTTACTGATAGCAAAGTCCATGCTATAGAAAAAAGAAAATGTTTAATGTTGCATAATTTCAAAATCCACAGACATCAGGGACTGCCATGAACACTATTATCCAATACAACAATTCAAACACAATTCTTCACAGCTCCCTTTAAGTTATTCTTTTTATTTTCCAGTATTCAGGGTGGCTGCTTATATAGAACAGCAGTGTACCAAAATCCTTAATACTGAAAACACCATGATTATTTATTGCATAAGAAATCTTCAAGTCTAAAAAAGTATATTCCCCTAGACTTATTATATGACTTTCAACATCCGTTGAAGATGGAAGAAACTGCAATAAACTGCCTGATAAATAAGCTAAAATTAGCAAAATATTTATGTGGGTGATAAAAGTGGTTTTAACTTGGGAAAGATCTAACAAGAACGAGGAGCTGAAATAAAACATCATTTGTTATTACAAGAACAAATTTCCCCTCAAACAAGCCTTGCTAACTGACTATTTCTATCCATCTCTGGGAATGGGGAACTGAATGGTTTGGAAGGTCTAGACTCACTTAACATCCTTCTAAAAAGCCCTAAACTAGGGTCAATACACAGCACTAGTCATTAGTGCAAGAAATGCGATTAGAACCATCTAAGTCTCCATCCCCCTCCTCCACCTCCACTGAAGGTTATGGCACCCATCCTCTCTATGTCACTGTGAAATTTACAGAACTATTCTCTATTAGCTGAGTACAGTGCTAGTCTCACGCAACATCTTGCATACATCAGTTTTCAAGTGTTCTAAAGCGTAGCTAAAGCAAATACGCATTTTATTTTGTCTAAGAAAACATTTCTAAGCTCCTACGCATGCTTCTGCAAATAATAAGCAACACTATATGATTTTTTAAAAAAGTAAAAAACATTTTGAAAAATAAATCAATGAAGGTACTAAATTCTTCCTCAAAAAAACCCCAAACCCAAAGAAAGCAAACAAGGAGACAACATTATTTAAAAACAAAAAAACCCTTCTAAATTATATGGCTAGCATTTTCCTGCAATCATTACTCAAATAATGAAGAGAGTGTTATGTCTTTCTACCCTTGGTGACTCAGATATTATAACTGCTAGAGGGTGCAGTGAAAAGATGAGATCCTCTGTCTATGACACTGTATGATCCTATCATGGTATTAACTACAATTCTGTAAAATCAGCATTATGATCACCTTGCCTGTCTCACTTGAAAAAAAAGAAGAAATGTTCTAAGGGAAGAAAACTGAAACCAGAATATTTCAATTTATTTTTTGTACTACGTTAAAAAAGACAAAGTAAAAATTAAGAGGAAAAAAGTAAAGTATTTTAAGTTACGTTAATGTAATAAATACCCATTGCAATATGTCCATCATGGCTCACAGTCAACTTATGTTCCATCTTTAAAAAATAATATCATCTTGTTATATTGCTAAGAAATTGCTTACAAAATTGGTCCATGGCAGTTGCTTTGGATATTTTCAAGGACTGATGGTGGTGCTACTTCTTTACAGAGATAATGGTGGGCATCCGCAGTTAATCTGTAATATCCGTCAATTAACGATACAAAGGAGAGAGCTTCTCTTAATGACTGAAATTCAGCCTCCTGTTAAATGGCAGAAGGGGGAGGCAGAGAGAGAGAGAGAAAACAACAAACCAATTTTTACACAAAATTCCTGGATATGATGATGATATAAGAGATACAAAATATATATATATGATGACATACGATGACACAAAAGATCTATTTATATGCAGACATTAAAGATACTCCGATCGTTTTTATTTACTGTTTGTAGAGTTCTACCTTCCTTGTGCCAAACAAAACATGTTAACCATCTTCAATGTTCGAAATTAAACCCAAATCAAACAAATCTGCCCTAAAAAACCTGATTAAATATATGAAACAGCAGGGAAATGCTGACAAGAGGGCAGACACCTACTGCACTGGCAACACAGTGGTTGTTTTCTTTCACAAAGGAAAGCCTTCACTTATCAAAGATGTATGGGGGTGCCTTCAAGTGGCAAAGAAAAATCTCTAGAAACAGCAAAAACTGGCAACCTGACTGCACCACAGACAGAAGCTGACCTTTAACCACTATGAAGAGATACACAGTGGATGGAAACAAGTAAATAATGTGGTCAAAGAAGAACATGGTGTGGAAAAGGTCTATGCAGAATACATTGAACAGATAAGAGCAGGGCAAAGTTAAATCCATCTTTAACAACATATTTATTACTGCCAACACAGTAAACTAGAGTCCATTTTAACGTAATTATCTATATTCACATTTTGACAGTTCATCAAAGCATTAAAAGACAGTCTTTACTTCAACTGAGAAGTGTCACCCTAACACCCACAGAGCCACACCAGATTTCATTCAGTGGCATAGCCCAACAGAACACATTTCAGTACATGCTGCACAAGTTTGCCCACAACACTGGGGACACATCTAGCAGCTGAATACAATTTTGTGGCAAGTTCTTTGCTAGACAGCAATAAAAAAGCATGCCAAGAATTTGTTTGGAGTCTTCAAACTCCTTATTAAAAGAGGACCTGGAAACAACTGTTCTTTCAGTTCTTTCAACACGGTCAGAAACCCCACAAAATTAACAGACCTAGAAATCCACCCATTTTAATCCATCCATGTATCCTAAAACTGTGTAAAGTGCATTTCTATAATGAATACTACTAGCTGTGTAACAGGTTAAACAAAATCACGAATTCTAATCTACACATCAGCTTATTCTTGTGTGTAAACTGTCCACACACAAACCACAAGCAAAGCAGCAGCTACTGTACTTCTCCACTTTCTCCTACTCTGCCTTACTCTATTAGCTTTTTTAGACAAGCTTGTAGAAATTAACTTTTACCCTCAGAATCACATGCAGTCAGGTACCTAACTACTGCTACTGAGAATTTTAATAGTTCAAGCTTAAGAAAGCCTCCTCCACTAATCTAAAATATTATTATGCTCTCAGCATCACAGATGCACTGATATTCCAGATACTCTTGTGTTTCAATAAAAAGCCTTGAAAAAAATTGGAATTCATTAATGCAGTAAATGATCACAAATCATAATTCTAATATAAATGAAAGTAAACCATATGTCTTTTCTTTCAAAAAAAGCATTATTAGATAGAAAATATAAGTAGTTAATAGTTATTAAAGTATTTTTGTTTTTTTTTAAAAAATTGCTTTTACAGAAGAGTAGTAGATAAGCTTTACATTTTTCACAGACACACACAGAGGTAAGGAACCTTTCTGGTCACACTGTGAGTTAAGGAGGCCTGAAGGCCCACACATCAGTCACAGAGATAAAGGAAGAAACAATTTGTACTGGATTTGTGTGGCAAAGTTTTGGTAGCATGAGGGAGAGGGACTTACAGCAGTGGCTTCTCTGAGAAGCTGCTAGAAGCACCCCCCATGCCCAACATAGCCAACGACAGCCAGCTCCAAGACAGACTTGACTGTGGTCAAAGCCAAGCCCATCACTGACTGTGGCAGCACCTTTGTGATAACATATTTAAGAAGAGGAAAAAACTGCCATGCAACAGCAGCCAGAGAAGAGTGAGAATATGTGAAACAACTCTGCAGACACCAAGGCCAGTGAGGAAGGTGGGGCAGGAGGTGCTCCAGGTGCCAGAGCAGAGATTTCCTTAGTGCTGGTCATGAAGACCATGGTGAGGCAAAGCTGATCCCTGTAGACCATGCTGATTAACAGTAGAGCAGATGTCACCTGCAGTCCATCAAAGACCCCACACTGGAGAAGGTGGATGCCCAAAGCAGGCTGTGACCTTGTGGGAAGCCCACAGTTGAGCAAGTTCTTGTCAGGACCTAAGGAGCCATGGACAGAGGAGCCCATATTGGAGGAGGTTTGCTGCAGGACTTGTTACCCCTTGGAGGATCTATGCTGGACCAGTCTGACCCTGAAGGACGGCACCCCATGGGAAGGACCATGCTGATGCAGTATGTGAACTGCAGCCTGTGGGAAGGACCCTCACTGGAGAAGTTCATGAAGGACTGTCGCCCATGGGAGGGACCCCACACTGGGGCAGGGAAAAAGACTGAGGAGGACAAAGCAGCCATGTATGATGAACTGACTGTAACTCCCATTTCCCATCCCCAGCATCACTGGAGGAGAGGAGATAAAAAAACCTCAGGAGTAAAGTTGAACCTGTGAAGAAAGGAGGGGTGGCAGGAAAGTGTTTTTAAGATTTGGTTTTAATTCTCATTACCCTACTCCAATCTGACTGGCAATAAATTAATTGAATGGAGTCTGTTTTGCCTGTGACTGTAATTGTTAAGTGATGTCTTCCTGTCCTTATTCTGACCCAAGAGCCTTTTGTTGTACTTTCTCTCCACACTCCAGATGAGGAGGTAAAGTGACAGAGTGGCTTTGCTGGGCTCCTGGCATCCAACCAAGGTCAACCCATCACACAACTATGTGGCAGTCATACCTGCTGGAAAGTCTGACTCAAGTGCAAAGCTGGAGTTCAAACTGAAACAACTATTTACATTCAGGCATAAAATACTTTAATGGTCTGCTTCAAAGAATTTGAAATAGTAAAAGCAATTACATTAACTTTGTCCTATTGCTCATTTTCTACATATCACCATTCCTTCAGAGCACTCTGAAAGACTTTTTCAATGTGTTGGTCACTGTCAGACAGCTTACTATGACAGCATGGAAATGGTATGCTCGATAGATAACAATCACAGACTTGGGCTTAAGACTCCAATAAAGAAAAGAAACAATGTGAGTATCAGAAATTACTTTCAGCTATAAACATCTATTTCAATCTCAGTCCATGCAGAGCGCTTTGAATGGAAAAGACATTTGGTGTTCCAATACATCAGTTTCTCCGCTGAAATGTATTAGTTTTACCTCATACTTAGTTAACATGGTAATTGGTTATACAACAGTATAAATAACACAGCAATCACAGAGCCTGCTCAAAGCAATATCTATCTGAAGAAATGCAAAGTGGACAGACCAGATTCTTGCTGTCTTGTTTGTGAATGGTGACAATTCTTCTCTCACTGGAGCCTTCTTGGCTTGCTTGTTTAATGCTGACATCAATTATATCAGGAAAATCACAGTATGTTTGTAAATCCTGCAATAAATATTGGTTACATAATGTCAGTAATAACATACATAATAACAAAAAAAACCCCCACCTATTCCTAGTGTTAGAATTCCTACAACTCTGAACTTGTACGCTAGCAAGAAAGTATCCACATATGGGCTGTTTTTTTTTATTGTAGATGTATCTTTGCTCTGTACAATGGAACATTTTGATTAATCTAGGGGGTGGGTTTTTTGAGAACTTATTAGCATCCTGATTATAGAGGGTTAGAAAGTTTGTTAAGAATCCAAACATTCATACTTCATTCAGATTGATACGAGCTGCAAAACCTGCCGCCAAAGACATGGGTGTAGTATGAATGAACAAAGGGTTGAACTGAAGATTCTTTCCCATCAGCCACAGTCATCACTGACCAGGTAACTTGAAGCAGTGATCCCAACTATATGGGAAATCCAAGACACATTTTCCTTTAATAGCAAGTTCAGGTAATTTTTTGATACTATGATATTCTGTATCACCTGCTTCAGTCTTTCAGGAGTAAAATTACAATGTCATATAAATCATACTTTGTTTTGCTTTCAGCAGAACTTCAAAGTAACACCCTTTAATAAAAGTGGATTTATCCATCTAAAATTATTCTTCCAAAGCAAACAGATTCAAGCCAGAATACTCCATTTATACAGCTGCAAGGATATCCTTGTAATAGGATAATAAGGTGTAATAATCAAGGCTGTAAGACTTGGTGGGTATCAGCTCAAATGCATTGAACTCCCTGAAGCCCTATTTGTTCAAAATGTGAACTGGCAATACAAATTTCTTCACAGTCTATCCCACACACATTATTCTTGCCTTCAAAAAAATAATATTCCTTCAGTCCAATAATAAAGATTCATCAGTATAATTTGCTGCAGCAAGAGTTATGATCACATTTACAAGCAGCCTTATTCACTTACTAAGTTTTCATAACCGATTTTACAAACTGTTTCCTTACCAATCAAAATATACGCAGCCTACACCATGTCTCTGTTAGTAAATGGGATGATAATATTAATAATTATTAAAACACAATTTGGCAATCTCTACAGCAAATATGATCCGTTTAAACACCATGCTTACTAAAGACTTGGTTGCCAGGCCCACATATCAGAGTATGTATACATTTCATACACCTGAAACTAGAAATTGCAAAATCTGACATTTATGTTAGCTCCTGCCAGGGCAACTGGCTCGTAAAGGCAATTTAGGAAAGGCAGAAGGCAGACACATGATAACTACAGTTAAGTTAACTATTGTTAATCTAAAAAAAATACTAAGAAAAACATATTTAAATCTGAGTATGTAATCAGCTTTTTTTCTTTTTTTTTTCAGCACCACCAAAAAAAAAAAAGCACACTGCAAAAATTACAACCTTTTTTAGTTTGGTCTTGACTGCTATATATCACACATCAAAACTACCAAACTAACAAATGCAATTATTTCAGGAAACTGACAAGTGCTCCACTTTGCCTTTAATTTTACCTTTGGAAAATTCCCACACTCTCACCACTTACCACCCTCAGTTTGTATCAGTTTCTGATAAATTCAACAAAATTACTAGTCATACTTGAAACTCACACACAAAAGAAATACTACTGATAAATAAAAACGTAACAGCATGATTACTAGCACTTACTGGAACCATTTAGTACCTAAATCCTGACTAAAGACTATATGGATGCTGCAGTCACAGCAATGTCACTTTACATTTGCTAGCTTAGACCCCGGTAGGAGTCTAATAGCAGCAGGAAAGAGGGACAGGGAAGTTTACCTGGTTTCTGGAGTCCCTAAAACCCCTCTTTCGAAGAGAATTTGAGGAATTTGTGTGTTTTACCTATACCTAGGGGCAGGATCATTACTCTTGCACTTTTTTTTTTTTTTTACAGTAATGAAGGCCTAACACAGAGTTTTTCATTTGTCAAGCACAAAAGTATCATATGTTCAAGTACTGACTTCCTTCTAATACTGCAATAAAAAAGTATTTCAAAATTCCACACTGTTTAACTTAGTACATCTTTGTGAGCTTCAGCTATATGAGTCATACAATCACTGCAAAGTAAAATTTACCTGGGGTAAATCAGAACTTCTAACATCAGCTAATCACTCTTACATTAGGAACAGCACAATTATTATAGTAATAAAAGAAATTACCTGCTCTGCCAATGTCTCACAGTCTTTAAGTTTTCCTCTTAAGCACTGAATTCCACCATTTCCAGTTATTACAATTGTTGCAAAACTTTCCTCTCCAGAAGGATCTCCACCAGGTTCTTTTACTTCAAAAACCTCTGAATAGAAGGCAGACTGAAGGTTTTCCAGATTTATAAGATACTTAAGTTTCAAGTTTCTGGCGGTAGCTTTGCATTGACCAAACTGTTGTATAAATTTGCGGAACCTGTATCTTATTCTTTTTCGTGTCAAAATGTGGTAGTCTTGGATTTTTGCTCGCACACATTTAGGCAAAAACATTTTGTAACTGTGAACATATAACCAGCAAACATAATTAGTTCTGTGCTAAACAAGTCAAGGTGAAAATATTTTTTCCTCTAAACAAAACCTTATTCTTTACACCACAGGACAGCAGGGATCCTTTCTTTAGTCTGCAGCATGTTCTTTCAAATACAGCCCTGTCTCTTCTTCCATTTTCCATGTCTTCCCCTCACTCAGTTTTAACATATATTATATAATGCATTTTCCATAAACCCAGACATGTCTGTTCTGGTCCTTACTGATGTTTTTTGATAAGCCAGCAGTAGTTCCACAGTCACTTCGTTTGGTGTAAAATTTGGAAAGAGGATACGGCATGGACAGAGACAACTACATGGATAGAGAACAGATTTCCTGGCTGAAAATATAAGTAGTAGAATATAACACAGTGATTGGTTCTCACTGAAGTTCCAGTATCTCAGTTCTGTGTCCATATTCTATATCAAGGGGCAAAAGAGTAGTTTGCCACCTGCAATGAGACGGCCAATTGGTCGCGTCATATCACAGAAGAGACTGATTAGATACAGAGATAATCTTCCTCAGGACAAAGCTGCCCAGAGATATGGTGGAATCTCCATCTCTGGATATTTTCAGAAGTTGACTGGATGAGGCCCTTAGTAACTTCATCTAACTTTCGAGTAGGCCCTGATCTGAACTGAGGTTTGGATCTGATGACTTTTAGAGCACTCTCCCAACTCAAATTATTGCTTACATCCTTTCCCACATAAGTAACTGCTGCCTTATCTCTCATGAAGAGAATCAAATCTATGTATTCAAATCCATGAATGGCATCATGATACAAGCTTCCTATTAATTTCTAATTTATACTACAGCTAAGTTTATGGAATCATTATGCTAGAATAAATCAAGTGCCAACAGCGGAGCAAAAAATACTGTTCTTAGACATCAAATAGGTATGATACAGTTATAAAGTATGGAGTCACCTGACTGAATTGTAAATAGCCAGTGGGGTTTGGTCCTTTTCTTTAGCCACTCTCATCATATCCAGAACAGCCATTCCAAGGCACTCTTCCTGTGTTTCATGAGTAACAGGCATTTGTACCCATCCATCCAAAAAATCATCTCGCCACTGAGAAAGAATGAAAGAGAGCAAATTAAAACTGCAGCACTGTCGTCATAAGATTTTTGGGGGTGGTGCCATGTGATGGGTTTGTGTCTGGCTGGGTTTTTGGTACTGGGGAGGCTATAGGGATGACTCCTTCAGTGAAACTTCCAGAGTCTTCCCAAGCCCAGTGAACCAGTCAATCCTGACTAAGTCCAGCCCAACAAGCACCTCTGTGAATCAATAGATTCAAGAACAGAAGCCTGTTGGAGGAGCTCCCCTTTCCTGTGTCTTTTGTGTTGAGGACTCTGGTTTTGTTCTGGAGAAGAGGAGGAGGCAAGAGAAGAGCAAATATGCAGTCTCTAAGGAAGGAGGGGAGAAGAGCACCAGAGAAAAGTGTTCCCCAGTGGCCCGTGGTGATGGTGGACCAAGATGAGCGACAGTAAGGATCCATGATGTAGGTTGTGGAGGACCGCAGGGCAAGGTATAGAGAGACCATGGGAGCAACAGATGCCCCTGAAGAGATCCGTGACTCAAGAAGGACCTATGCTGGAGCAGGCTGGCTGGAGCTCAGGGGTGGAGGACGAGGAATGCCTCTTGTGAGAGGGACACCACATGGTGGTTAGGGAAAGCCCCGAGCAGCCCTCTGCCCTAGGAAGATGGACAGACTGCACTCCCCATCCCCAGCACTGCTGAGGGGAGGAGGTAGCCAGGAAAGAGGCATGCCTGGGGGAGGGAAGGCTGCTTAAGATCTGCTGGGATTTACTTGCTCTCTCTCTCAAGCTCTGATCTATTTGATTTGGTTCAATTGATGGTGCTAAACTAAATTCTGTTTGTTTTCTCCCCAAGGCTACTCTGTTCTTTGCCTGTAACCATAAGTGGCAAGTGAGACCCTTCCTGACCTAATCTCAGTCCTTGAGTCTTTTTGATGCATTTTCTCCTTTCCCATCCCTAAAGGGAGGGGGTTGCGGGTGAGCTCTTGTGCACAGCAGGGCAGGCTCAAATTATGACAGGGAATTTGCTTGGGTTTCTTTATTTGTTTGGGATTTTTTTTTTCTGTTTGTGGGGAGGGTTTTTTTGTTTACTTGCTTTTCAGAGCAATGAACCCCTTTGTCCACAAAAAGCTGCAAATTTGCACAATGGATACCAGCTACCATGATGCTTAGAAACACTGTTTTCCAAACATTTTCATTTCAAATCTCAAAAAGGTCCATATGAGGAGGATGTTGTCCTATAATGTGTCTGCAAGTCACACTGATAGACTTCCACATCGCAGCAGCACAAGAAAGGAGCTACACAATCTCACTGCTCTCCATCAACTGCCATTTCAGCTTCATCTTTCCAAATATACAATATTTAATTTTCATCTTGAATGGGCTTCAAGATGTCAAAAGAGCCTACACAGTTACTATCAGAAGATGTGAATGGGAATAAATACCAACAACCTTTACCAGCTCCACTAAAAAACAATCAAGCAAATCATACCTGTGCAAATAGGTAAGACATGACAAAATCATCAAGAACAGGACTTTCTGCACCTCGAATAATGCCATACCGATATGCTCTGCTGGTACCATTGCAATACCAGTGGGGGAAATAAAACCTGTTAAGAAATATTTAAGCAAACATGAATAAACATATACTTTTGCTTACTGACATCAGACATTATCACTTTTATGCAGCTACTGATGGCTGGTTCGCAGGACTAGCAGGAAGTCCCAGTTAGTCAATGGAGGGCTTTGGATTCAGTTCTTTGTGTCTTAAAGTACTACAACACTTGAGTAGTACTCGTAGGAAAGAGTATCTCTGCAAAGTTATCCTCACTATTCAGAATATAGAGAACTGTGTGTTAAAGTCTTCCTGATTCCTCTCAGTTCCTAAAGAAACACTTGGGCCAAATTATGCAATGCCAATAAAGAAAATCTTTTACATAAGGAAAACCATGGCTGTGGCTTTAGACATTCACAGTCAAAAATCTGGTTAGCAAAAACTGGTTCTATTGCAGGCATCTGCCTGACTACACAGGATAATCGGTCTGCACTTCAGAACTGCCACTCACTTCAAACAAGTAAACACAGAGATGAGATGAATCATTATTAAGAAAAATATTATTTTTACTTCTATTTTTTTCTTCTTTTCTCTGATCTGATACAGCGAATATATTTTATCAATCATTTGTACACGTTATTCAAACATATTCCAATAATTCTGAATCTTTTATCTGTCTCTGCTCCAGATATTACCAATAATCTGTCCACAACATCTTGGAGAAACTATGGTTCAACTAAACACTCCGGGTTTTTTCACATAGTCTTCTTTTACCATGAGGAGTGAGTAACATTTGATTTAGATTACCTTATCCGGTAAATCAGGATGAGTCTGGTTGCTTCATCTACATGGAAGATGTGATTTGGGGGATACCACATTCTCTCTGTTTCACTCATGAGTGCAAACATGTTATGATACACTGGCATGATACCTAAACAAAGAACAAGAGAAGTAAACGTTTAGAGGATATTGTTTTCACAAAGAATCAAACTTACTGAAAAATATTGTGAGTTAAAAGTAGCAGACTGGCACATGTTCTCCAATTATTTGCTGCACTACTCTATCACTGTCAAAAGCATTGCTACCATCACTCCATAACCCACTGACTGGTTTTGCTGACATTTTCTCTCTCTTTCTTCGTGTTTTCTCACTGCAGATTGTTACGCTATACTTCACTGTTAAATTATAAGATTTTCTCCATTAGGCATTTAATGCTATGGCTTCATAGCTGCCCAGTTTAGTAACAGCTAACAATAGCACATTATATTTGTCCTTACCTTTTGTAAAAACATTGTCATTGATTTTAAGAATTTAGGCGATGAAAAACTAGATGTAATGCAATACAAACAAAGTGATCATAGATAACCACCTCCAATTTACAGTTTAGTAGCTCAGTTGAGAACTAAACCAAAGATACATTAATTAAACAAAATATTGTTTTCATGTCAAACACGAGAACTGAGCAGTCCTACTTAATCACAAACTATGGAAATCAGTGTAGCATTGACTCTTCAGCAGCACCAGAATTTAATTTTGGATTCGTGGTTCCTAGCTGAATGTCCAGACAAACACAGCATTTTAAGTCTAATATAAGATAGATGCCACAGCGCTGTATTATACTGCAATGTTATGCAGCCATGTGGTGCCAGTGTTACAATTTGGAAAACAAGTTGAATGCTTGAGAACTGATGGCACAAATGGATGAACATCAGCAACTGGCAAAAATATTTTGAAGTCTGGAAGAGATACAGGTCTAGAGGTCAGAGATTGAGATGAAATTTACAGTGTGAAAGTCACAGTAGGTCATAATGAAAGAAAACTATCTTCAGATTAAAGCAAGGTACTTCAGGAGCAGAATGCAAAAATATTGAAAAAATAACATACAAAGACAACAGAAGTAATTTACAATTACATTAAGAGGTAAAAGAATTCTGAGAAAAGGGAAAGTGGCCACAACCCTGTCCAAAGACTTAAAATAAAATATTCACACAAGGAACCAGGAGGTGGGAAAAACAAAAAAAGTCACCTTTTTCTTTTCTGAACAACATCTAGGTAACTACTGAAGGGGGCAGACTCAAATTTCTTTAATCATATCTAAAGTGCACATAAGGCAGAAACGACTAATCAACTCCACAAATAAAACTTCATAAGTTTGTGGAATAAAAAGTAATTCAGTTTGAGTTTGCTTCTGTAGGGAGCCAGTAAGAGCGCTAAAACCAACAGGTCTGTTGCTCAGATTAAACTGCTGAAATCTACAGGCTAATCATCTGGCACTTGTTTAAACTAAAGCGCACCAAAATACACCAGAATTACAGGTCACAACCCATGATCTTCTATGAAGATGAGTCACAGAGTTACAAGAAACTACAGAAATGGGAAGCATTACATAATGAAAGAGAAAACAAAACTAAATAAAAATTTCAAAGGAATAACCTTGAAGAGATTAGTAATTGAAAGATTGACTGCAAATTTAGATGTTATAAATTTATGGAGCAGTAAGACATATTTGACCCATCAGAGTTTTGAGAAATACTAAATTAAGTCCATTTTATGGAGTTAAAAAGAAATCTATCGCATGCAATCATTTGATTTATGAAGTTTACACATCAGTTGTCTATAAAGTAGTAAATGACCTAGCAGTTTTAAAGGCGTGTGATGTCTGTATCCCAAATAATTTCAGATCGATTACAGTGTAATCCATGTAAATCACCAGCCTATTTCAGAATTCAAGCCAGATGCTACATACCATTCAAGGCAATGCTGAATATTTGCCCAGTCTCAACAATACATTTCCCTGAATTATTAACAATCCCACGTAAGCACGGGATTTCTGAACAAGAAAAAAATTTCCAAGTCATATTCTTAAATTCAAATGTTAAGTTGCTGTAATTCATCAAATACATTGCATACACATACATACACACACTCTCCCCTGCCTCTCCAAAGAACCAAATCAAGTCAAATAGCCTCACAGATATTTCAATCCATGTTCTATCACTGCCACTGTAAAACTTTTAACTAAGTAAGGAACTTCACTTTGGAATTTTCTCTATAAATCAGAAATGTTGGCATTAAGAAAAAAAATCCTCAAAATCTTTGCTGTCTTCCAATGCATGTAAAGTAAACTGTGCACTCATCCATCTCTCATACTTCAGCATTTATAATTCAAACGGTAACTTGCACCTTTCACTGCCAGCGCTCAATGACATAGCATCACAGAATGAATTGAGTTGGAAGGGACCTCAAAGACTGTCTAGTTCCAACCTCTCTACCATGGCAGGGACATACCCCACTAGGCCAGGTTGCTCAATGCTCCAACCAACCCAGCCTGGAACACTTCCAGGGATGGAGCATCCATCACCTCTCTGGGCAACCTGGTCCAGTGCCTCACCACCCTCAGGGTAAAGAACTTCTTCCTCACATCTAGTCTAAGTGTACCCTCTTCCAGCTTCCACCCATTACCGCTGGTCCTATCACTACACATACTTGTAGACAGTCCCTCCACACCTTCTTGTAGGCCCCTTTCAGGTACTTCTCTTTTCCAGGCTGAACAAGCTCAACTGTCTCAGCCTGTCCTTGTAGAAGAAGTGTTCCAGCTCTCTGATTGTCTTGGTAGCCTTCCAACCATCCAGGTCCAACACCTTGCTCCTGACTTGCTCCAATATCTCTGTGTCTTTCTTGTGTTGGGGGCTCCAGAGCTGGACACAGTATTCCAGGTGGGATCTCACAAAGGCAGAGCAGAGGGGCAGAATCACTTCCCTCAGCCTGCTGGTCACACATCTCTTGATGCATCCCAGGATACAGCTGGCTTTCTGGGCTGCAAGTGCACACTGTTGGCTCATGATGATCTTATCCATCAACACGCCCAAATCCTTCTCCCCAGGACTGCTCTCAATCCACTCACTGCACAGCCCATATCTGTGCTTGGGATTGCCTCAACCAAGGTGCAGGATCTTACACTTGCCCTGGTACTTGGCCTTGTTAAACTTCATGAGGTTGGCATGGGGCCACCTCTCAAGCCTGTCAAGGTCCCTCTGGATGGCATCCCTTCCCTCCAGGGAGTTGACCACACCACACAACTTCACGTCATCAGCAAACTTGCTGAGGGTGCACTCAATGCCACTGCCCACGTCGTGAACATACAGATGATGTGTTTTTCAAGAAAAGGAGCTCGCTTTCCCTTTGTGACAGCGTATTGTTACATTTGCAAAAGCTCTAGTAACTTGAAAACTTTAATCAGAGTCTTTAAAATTGTCCACAATAGTCTGACAAAAGACTAGAGGCCAGAAACAACTGGTTCATATAATTCTCACCAGCACTATTAATTGCAGGGACTTTTCAAGCAAGTTTTAACTGCAGTATTTAAGTATTTTCTCCAGAAAAAATTAAAACCACAAGACTGGGGGTGGAGGTGGGAATCTAAGTCTTCCAATGAAGCCTAGACATGTCAAAAATAGTGAAAAATTCTGAGAAATGTATTTTCTATTATTAGAATGGCCTAGGTTGGAATGGACCTTAGAGATCATCTAGTCCAACCTCCCTGTCATGGGCAGGACACCTCTCAACTAGATCAGGTTACTCAAGGCCTCATGCAACCTGGCCTTGAACACCTGAAGGGAGGCGGCATCCACAACGTCTCTGGACAATTTATTTCAGAGCCTGGACAATTTATTCCAGAGTCTTTCAACACAAGTAAAATCAGAAAAGCTGATCACAATAAGTACCAAAAAAACCTCTCCTAGATTTCTGCACTGTACTAACCACACTATCAAAACAATCAATGATTAACTAAGAGACGGGACAGTGACTCAGATATAATAAAGCAGTATTGTTACCCACTTTGCTTCTCCACCAAAGGCTAATTAAATGAATTTTCTGGACTACTGCAAAGACAAAAACATTACCATCTCTTGACAAGTATTTTATTTAGTATATGAGGCTAAATAAAGGAGCCTCATCATACAACACGGACTGCCCAGTATTACCACGAAATGCTGTTAACACAGCAGAAGATATTTCTCAAAGGCCTACCTCAAGTCTAAAAAAAAAGAAAATTATTCCCTTTCCTCATGATTTTAGAGCTCCACATTGAGACAAGTCACACAACTTCATTTACTCTATAGCAGCTAGGGAAATACAGTTTATCTGTATTTCCTCCTTTATTGGCATTAGGTACCCTTTCACCCACACAGTACATGTTCATTAGTAGTGACCCTCTGTAAAGAAAAAAATAAAGCCCAGAAAATGTACATCATAAAACGCCATGACACCACTATGAAATGTGGAAGCCATGAAACTGTCAATTCAAGCATGTAAGTCACTAGACCCATACAGACGAAAGCAATTAGTTCCACGGAATTAATGACTAAAAACATTTAAAAAACATCTAATTTTCAAAGTCCAGTGCAAACATTAGCCAGTTCACACACACAACTGTCAAGCAAACTAATATAAAACTTAAAGTCTTGCACATATCAGACAGAAAATTGCTTGGCTTTTCTTATATGAAAATAATACCTTACCCTCACCCTCATACAAACCAGAGGCTTACTGAACTGTAACCCCACATTCAGTGTCACTATCCCATCAATAAAATGTATTCTGAATAGTTTAATGAAAGCACATTTTCTTTCTTCGCAGAAAAGAATTGCCCCGAAGTTCTGACTAATTCATTCATTGCTTCGGGGGGGGTGGTCAGTATGTTACGGGCAGATTTTCAGGAAAGGCTATCACTTAAGAAGAAACAAAACAAAATCACAAAAAAACCCACACACATCCCCCCTGAGCACCACAATGGGAAGCTACAAAACCATTAATAACTCTGAGTAACATGCTTTCCAGAAATTCAGCATGTTTAGGATAAAGCTCCTTAAAATTCTCTAGGTATTAATATGAAATTTCCTCTGAGCCATACAAGCAGAGAGGAACTAC